GCCGGCTCGCGTATGCGTATTAAGTCTCCCGCAAAAAGATGGATAGAGAAGGGAGGATGATGCTTAGGAAGTTGAGGAGGGGTGCTATCAAGAACGTGTGAGCGAGAGGGGATAAAGGGGAGGAAAGCAGATAGTGGGTCACGTGGAGTGTTCGACTGCCGCGCGACTGCGAAAGCTCGAGTGTGAATAAACGGTTTGGTATTTTCCGCGGTCTTCAAACTGCATTCATTATCGAAACACTGTTGCAATTATCCTCCAGTGATACGCACAGTAATGTTATACTCCGATGACATAGTACTTCATAAGCAATTTTTTACACATCCATCTCGATATTATTGTCAACCAACATACTTAAGAATATTTAATCTGAATAATCGTTAATCTCGAAATCAGCAAAAGTATTACAAAATAATTTTGATTAATATCTTTACATATCATAATAAATATAATATAAATGCATAAAGAAAATCTTAATATAATAAATGATTATTATAATATAACATATTGTAAATAATATAATAAATTGCAATTTTAAATAAAATGCAATTTATCTACTAACAGTTTTTTTATTTGATATTGATCCTTTTATGTGACTTTTGAGATATTCTATATTTATTTTTCTATTTCAAAACTATCAATTAATAATAACATATCTGCTAATTATAACAATTATTATCGAGTAACTGTTAATTAATGTACCGTGATTAGGTCAATTAGAAAATAGATTAACGATTTACAAGATTTTTCACGAATGTTCTATAATAAAATTGTTGAATCTCTAATAAATTTTCAAACAATACTGCTTGTATCTCTTCAAAAATATAGCAATGTAAAGTGAGCTTTTTAAATTGGAAAAAAATTGATATTATCGCTGAAATCATAACTGCTTGGTAATAATAATTTAGATTCAGTCAAGTTTATCAAGAGCAAATTTTGTAAGTCATTTTTATAAAGTTTTATAAATGAACAGACTCTCACACGCACTCAATACCTACGTGTAAAAGTTGTTATACTATTTAAATTAAAAAAAATTGTTTCATCAAAATATTTAACGCATTTTCTAATTTAATTAAAAGTTTGATTCATCCACCTATAATCTGTCTAAAGCGGCGTCTATAATGAGATTTTAAGGCGTAAAATTAAGTTATAAGACATTGACCAATAACAATCGAATTTGACGAGAATAATCAACTATGATAGATCAATTTCTTATGGCTTAAAGCTTAAGCTTTACGCCTTAAAATCTCATTGTAGATACCGCTTTGTAAAGAAAATCTTAACGATTACCTAAAAATAAATTTTATTTATATTAAAATAATCTAATGTGTTTAATTTGTAATATTAATCTTAAAAATTAAGTCATAGGTGTCTGAGATTTTTCATGCACTATTTCCGTTATAATTCAATATGATCACAAAATTACGTTTGGCACAAACGTAATCAAGATTATTGTCATAATACTTCCTTCTCTTCCACTCACTTCTTCCCGTTTTATGAAAAAAATCTATGCTAAAATTTTTTTTTATTTTAAGATTTTCTTAGAAAAACTATACAGAATAAACTTTGTTACCTGCTTTTATATCCGTAATATAATTGTAGATAATAGATTACAATATAGGAATTAAATATCGCGATAATTTTTTTACATAAAATTAAATACAAAAATCTTTTAGAAGAGTTATTCACAATATTTATATGATATTGTAATTTTAAAAATGTTTAGTTGCTTATAAGTCACGCTTGATGTTATAGCGTTCTGAAATTAATGATAATGCCATACCAAATATAAGCTGTTATTTAGCTTGTTCTTATGTGATCTTTTCTTAAAGCTGAAATGTCAACTGATATGATTAAATTAATATTAATATAAACTTAATATTACTAAAGAGATATGCTGCTAAGCATCTCATATCTCCGCATCTTAAGAGTTAAAGCGCAAATCTAGACCTTTCTACTTTCTGACTAGACATTTTATCAACAGGCCAGCGAGAATCCAATGATATTTCTCGCGATAAACAATTATACATATATATATATACAGATATTAATAGCACGAAAAATATTGCATTATATTTTCAATGGATGCAGACCAATCTAAAGAAAATATAAATAACGCAAATGCAGAATAAGTAAATATGACAATTTCATCGAGCAGACCTTCGACTTGATATTAATTTTTTAATTAAAAATATCATTTGATTTTACGTGCTTTAAAACCAAAATGCGAATTTATACGTAAAATTATATTAATAATCAATTGATAATCGTATGTACTAACCAGCACAATGACTTGAACCTTAATATTTATAAAACTAATAAATTTGATATTAAACCAACTATATTTGTTATATGATCGAAATTGTCATATTTTTATTTATTTTGTGTTATACGCACATCATTAGGTACTTACTTTTATTATTAAATGTGATTGGTTTTAGATTAAAGTTTCTGGTTTATAGATATAGTTTTGTTATAGATTTTTTTTAAATCGATTACGCATAAAACTTCACTTTTTCTATAATTAAAATTTTTAAGTATCAAAATAATCAGTTCTATAGCGTAAGAGAAATGATAAAAAAAAGGAATTTACTAAGAAAAAAAATTATTAGTCGATATATAAAGTACATTTAAGTATTTCCAATAATATAATTACGTTTACAGGAATATAATTACATTTAAGTATTCGCGAAGATTAAATACATGCTAACAATAAGCTGTACGCACTTAAAAGTAAGGCTTTCTTATTTCTTTAGAAGAGTACGCTCTTAAAATTCTAGATCTTTTTCTTTTATTTATAATTTTATTATTTTTACTATACATCTTGTACTCCCTTTACATTTTTGTGACAAATGCGTAATCTAATCTAGAGCATCTCGTGAATTTCCTTTTTGATTGATCTTTTCTATAAAGTTTTTTTTTAATTCATCCATATTCACAACTTATGAACAGTAATATGTATTATTCACAGTCGCTGTACAAATTTCATTCGACACATTTTGTTGATATATATTTAACAACGGACGTAATCAACTTGTCATTAACACTCGAGAAGTCAAAGCGATTATTTTGACCCCTATCAAATTTTTAACTAGTAACCTTGATATTATTTGATAGAGTCTTGTACTCTTTTCTATTTTCCAGCCATTGTGCTCTTAGATTTCATAGCTCTTAGAAAAATGTCAATGCCGAAACGACTCGAAAAATCAAACTATGACCTTAAAAGGATATAAAAAATGGAATCACAACGGAAATTATTCAAATCAATGTTGAAATATGTTATTGGTTTTGTTTTGAATTTGTAATGTCTGAAAATGAATAAGGAACCGCGAAGATCAAGCCCTTCCTACTTCAACTTTTCTAGCAATTGTATATACATACACGACAGACATCCTTCTACTATTCTTGTAATTTTTAACAGTAACAGGAACTGCAACATCTAATGCCCAATTGTCAACCCTTTTAATATTTGGGGCTGGTTTTACAAACAAGCTAGGGCTAATATTTTTCCAGGAACAATATTTCGGCCATTGATCTTTCCTCGCAAAAATTTACCCGAATGCGAAAAAAAATGCTGCATCCAAGAACTATGGGAAATGATTAGTGCGAAGTGTATAACGGATGACTGATAGAATTATCTAATAGCGAATTCGATTAGACGCACTCAGTGCGCACTGGTGCACATCAAAGTCGTCGTACAAAATAACGTAGATTATAAATAAATATAGAAATCGATGAAATATTCAATATATTTTATTGTACTATTAGATAAAATATGTATTTCATAATTCGAAATATTTGCATTTCATTTCATTTTTATACTAAAATTAAATCAGTGTACAACAGCTTTAATATGCATCACTAGTGCTTCCAATCGAATTCGCCATAATATCTTTCAGATTTATAATGAATGGAGAATGTCAACAAAAGAGTTAATTTGGTTTTAACAAATACTTCGTGTAAAACTATGTATTATTCATTTTTTATCGTTTAATATTAGGTTTCTTGTGTGTGACAACAATAAGTCTTATTAAAAAAGTTTGTGTCAAAATTCTGCTTTTTTTACATTCTTTACAGGCCAAATTCGTCAAAAATTTTTTCTATATAATACTTTGATTTTCAAGCAATTTCCATTTCTCTTAATTATATTCCTAATATCGCTTATTTGCTACAACGACTCTCTAATTAAAAAAACAAGTTTTTCAGAAAATAAGTCTGAATATTTCAAATAATTAAAATTTTCTAATATTAATTTTAAAATACAATTTTGGTATAATTATTGATTATAGAAGAATAAAATTATGTTCTTTTAAGGAATATTTTTTCTTTTTTATATTTCTGTTCTTTTTTGCAAGCAACTAAAAAAATAATTTTTTAGTTACGCCGTTATTGTAGCAAATTTGAGCGGTATATATTTAATAAAATACAGTTATAATATATTGAGAAGGATAATGTGTGTGTCACAAATCAATCAATCGAAAAAAATATGCAGCTTACTTTCAAATCGTAAAGCCTCACCGGACATTTAAATTTGTTTCTTTAATTGTTTTCTCCTTTGTCTGTTGAACAGAAATCACAGTGATGCAAATGTGAAATGACAGCAATATTATTTCTATTACATTGATTGCACGATTAGGAGAGGCAATTTTTTGTTGGCAACTTCTAGTTATTGAACAAATTCATTATTTTATTAAACGAAATTTATTTAACTTGATACCTCCTATTGATAATCGGTATAATTTAATTTCATTTAATAACATTTTACCATAATAACGAGTTTAACAACTAAAAAAAATTAAATAAAGTCTGAGGGCATTTTACATATTTCGGAAAATGTCCGATTTGGCTTATCAACGCTACATAAATAGCATTTTAGTCGTTTCCGTAATTTTCTTACAAACAGCACAATTTCCTCCATGTTTATCGATTTCTCTTTATCTAAGTTAATATATTTTCCAACTATTTTGTTCATTGCTATATCTATCGTCTTTCATTTTTATTTCTTTTTTAATCAAAAATCACTTTTGCGTATTGCGACCGTTCGTACAAGAAAATATATGATTCTGTGAAGAGAAAAGTCTTCGTCTTTAAGATTCAACCATAAAAGTTCGTCCATGTACAAAGGGTTCGAGCTGTTTTGCATTCGCTGATGAAAATTCGAATGATTGTTTTAAATGCACTAGCAATATTGCTAGCGGGCTGCCACTCGACTCATATTCAGCTTTACCCTGCGTTGCTCCCTAAGAGTCCATTGCATCAACAGTGTTACAGCTATGGTTAACTAATCCATTTCGTTTTTTCGACATATTAAACAAGACTTACATTTGCATAATAAATTAACTATATAAATTTAAAAAATGTATTTAAAAACTTGTGTCGTAAAATATGTAGACATACTATGTTGGATAGCTTAAAGCTAAAGAAATGATATGGGCGATATTCTAAACAAGAAGGTGGAAAAATTGACAAAACTTTAAGTAAAATACATCATACTTATATATTTTACTGAGTCAATTTAAAAAATATTCTCAAACCTACGTCAATGAAAATACGCTTCTTAAAAATTTGTAATTTTTAGAAACAATGCAATTCTTCTATTTTAAATAATAGTTCCACAATGCAGACAAATACAGAGGATTTAGTTAACCACGCTTAACACATTAATTGCTGCAACTAAACGCGTAAAAAAGCTTAACGTTGATTACGCTCAAATACATGGGCAATCGATAAAAGTCGTATAAAATCGTTTCAAATGCACGTGCAATCGCATGACTACTCGTGTATAAATAATATGAGGATCGCCGTCTAACTACAAGTATAAGATAAGAAACAAGTTGTGAGCAGCAAAAACATATGTATAATTACGAAATATATATTATATATAGGATGTATATAACATATATTTCATGATTTTACCATAAACACACACACATACATGCGCGCGCGTACTCACATATGTAGGCACGCACGCATATGTAAACGAAACAAACACACATAGGAGCGCAACGGCAGCTAGATGATCGAACACTTTTGGTATGTTGTTCCTTCACTATTTTTTCCATTTTTCTTCCTCTCTCGCTTTCTTCCTCTTTTTTTTCTATCGTTTTTTGTTTCTGCCTCTTACATTCTATCTTTTTTTGCGCGTACACACATACATAAACACATGCACACGCACACATCGCACACATGCGTACTGTATACCATTTCGTATATATATATTACACGCTTTTTTCTTTGTCACATGTCATTATCGGTTCATTGCGCGCGTAAGAATCGAGAAAAATATATATACATAAAAACACGTCGTGGCGCAACGGCGATAGCAGAAGTAATAATTATAGTTTAATAATAATAGTAATAGCGTATAGACATGGTAGATTAGAAGTTAAAGTATCGCTTGCTAAATATATTCGAATCTCGTATAATTTTCGCTTCCTTTCTTATTTGGGGCATAATATATTCTTTATCCTTTTCATTTGCGTTTCTCTTATAGCTACTCGTTAAGAGAATTTAGGGTATAGGAGGAAAAATAGGAGCACTGCCGAGATGGGAGTTACAGCGATAAGTAGCCAATAAGTGTCGCTGAAAGGACATGAGTCACTATTCAAATCCAAAATCTCTCAAAACGTGTTCTACAATAAAAGAAACACAGACAAGAAATTGTGTTCTGTACAACGCGGTCTTTCAATTGTTTCTCGCTTCGCTTTTGCTCTTTCTTTGTACAATACTACTACGTTATATATTACATTTGGTTAGATCACTTTTCAATCACTATCATACATAAAAACTTGCAAAAGGTGTACCCCGTACCATAAACCGCGAAATGTTTTCAGTTAGAAAAATTTCGTCGCTGTCATTATCGTACTTGGTGTCCACGTTATTGTCACCGTCATCGTCAACATCAGTATTCACATTAATATCGTCATCACCATCGTTCCGATTATAGAATAAGATATTTAGAAAAATTACCGAAAAGTGAAAGGAGGAACAATATCGGTTGTCATCTCGCAACATCTTGTCCTTAAATCGATTCACATTGGCATACTGATGATTACAATGACAGATGTGCTGGTAATGGTGATGGTGATGGTGATAGTGACGATAACAGTGATGATGAAGATGATAGCGATGGTGATATTGGTGATGACGATGATGGCAATAGTTGCGGTTATAGTGGCGGTGATAATTGTGACGAGTGGTAGCAAAGTGGTCCATGGCAGGGGATCACTTGTCGGAACTCGGACACTCCCCAGGCTGCTTCATTATCGTGTAATCCAGTCGGTATTGGGCTGAAAGTAAAAGGATTTCGTGTTCTTTGTGATGACAATACGTGAGTAGTATGTGTGATTACGGGTGAAACCACTCAGTATTCAAGTGCTGGTTACACGTTTATATATGTAGCAGTTATGAAACATTATGCTATAAAAAGAAAAATAAAATATAAACATACTAAGAATAGTGCATCTATAGGCGTATTAAATTTATCCTAATTTACATAAAATATTCCAAATCGATCATATTTTTTTTTAATATGGATTTGTACGAATAATTTTATGTAACGTTATCTTCCTTTTTATTTTTTCTTTTCCGATTATCTAAATATCTCCACTTAAATAAAGGTTTCATCAAGATTAGATTAAATTCATTTAAGAACCAGTTTTGTTTTGATTACGCATCGAGTGAATCAAAAGCGTTCTTTCTTCATGTAATGCAACATTCGATTGTATTAACAGGACGTACCTTTCTTCGTAATATCTTCCATCGTCTGATCCTTGCAATCTATCGCAAGATGACTATTACTGCCGCAGTTATAACAAGAGATCTTTGTCTGTGGTATTACCGCCGCTGCATACGTTACCACCGGCGTAGGTGGCATGTACGACGCTTGTACTGGTGCCGCGGCAGCTGCGTTTGGTGGCGGTGGCGGCGGTGGAGTGCTACCAGACGCGGGATGTCCCGTGAATGGATACATAATCTCGCCGTTTGGTTGATACGCTGGTTGATAAGCTGGTCGTGCGGATGGCCCATGCAAAAAGTTGGAGTAGATACCGCTACTGGGACGTAACGTAGTTGGGAAGTGGCCGTGCGGTAGATACGTGAGCTGTGAATGTGTCGGTGGCGCCGGGAAAGAGACGCAGTGCGACAGACTCGGCGGTCCACCGTTCCCATTGCCGGCCCCATTCAATATTCCCTGGCTCTTCTGTCGTATCGTGCGCGTTTGCGAATTCTTTCTGGTAAGTTGCCTGCTCTCCGGTGGCACCGACGATTGCATTGACGACTGCTGGGGTGCTGACACGACATGTGGCGGAGCCGTCGCCGTGGAATGCACCGGTGCGGAAGTCATGTGATCAGTGGCAGGCGGTGCAACGTTGTTGTCAACGCCACTGTTGCTACTGACCCACGGCGCAGCCGGTGGCGTCTCGGGGGGCGATCTACTACCGGTACTATCAGAACTGCTGCTTTGGGAACAGTGTCGGCTGCTCTCGGAGTCGAGTCGCAATGCTTGCAGTTGTCCAAGGCAATACACATGCTGAGCATTACACCTGAAAATATATGATACATATTAAGATAACTGGTTACGTAATTTTTTAAATATTAAATATTAAATGTTAAGTATTATGTTCCAAGCCTGTATATTAAATCTATTAAAATTACATTTAAATATACAAATTAAAAAAAAAACATTTCTATTAGCTTTTGTTCGCTTATATCACAAAAAACATTACATCTTTCGTTTTAAGATTTCTTCTTAACTTTTTGACTTTTAATATTTCTAACGTATTTAATATTTCTAAGACAATTTAATTAAATATAATATTATCTAAAGCACTGACAAAATTCATTCATATATACCTCGAATATCGATTTTGCATTCCAGCTACTGGTACAGTAAGACAAGCATAACATGGTGAATTCTGAGCTGTATACATTGGTGGTGCAGGATACATTTGTATTTGCGCCGGATCTATCGATGGCATACCAGGATAGCGCCGTACATTTGGAGTAATCATATGATTGTGATAATGATGCATCGCCGGATGCTGTTCTTGTAATGACATCGATTTTCCGCTTGTATTACTGTTTGAATCCCCCAAAACCTCTACGCCAGATGCCTATAGAACAAATACAATACAAATTAAAAAAAAACCGTTAAATATAAAAATACAACATTAATTTACAGATACATTATCAGAATGGAAATCTATAATTTTATTCTAATATTTTTAATTAAAAAATATGAGGTTTGTTTTTCTTACAATATCTTATATACAGTAGGGGGAGACCGGCTAAGCTGGCATTTGAATTTTGAGTGGCAAAAATATATCTTATGAATTCCCAATTTGTAGATAGCATCTCGTGTGTCTTCTTTACTAATGAAGTTTGGTTAGTTTAGGTGTGTGTCGCGTTGTTATGTTTAGATAGTCAAACGTGTTTTCGATAGTCAAAAGTAATTTTTGAGACTTCATTTTTCGAATCACATCATTTTTTGTGTATATGGATGAAATGAAGTTGCAAACACCAAAACTTTTTATTGCCATCTTGTAGTCTTATAATCACTCTATAAAACGCTAATAATCATTTGACTAAAATCGTTTACTTTATTACTAAAAATTGCAATTGAAAAAAAGTGCCCACTTAGCCCCGGTCTCCCCCTATATTATGTTTTTATATAATAAGATATGAATAAAAATATTTTCTTGTTCGCGCGAAACTAATATTCATTACTAATATAGTCGTTAACACGACACACACACACACACATCGCACACGCACACGCACACACACACACACATTTATTAAACCAACATTTAAAGTAAAAAAAAACCCCGCAGTTTTTAATATATATATATATATATATATTAAAGTTTAATTTATACAACCATTTTCAGTTTTTATTTTAAAAGTTATCGCAAGATATGTCTCTCGATTCTTGATAAGAAAAAATTGACTCGAATTAAATAAAGAATTTTTGAAATCTTTATATATTGTGCGATATTATATATATAAGCCTCACTTCGTTCTCCATCGATTCGGCGAGCAAATGTGAGGTACTGCTTACGCTATCCAGCTTCTTATCCGCTGAAATCTGATTTAAACCATTGCTGGTTTGACTTTTAACTATACTCCTCAACTGTCCCACTGCGTTCGGTGTCAAGCCGATGTCCCTTAAGTCTTCGTCACTCATTCTTCTTATCTATAATTCGTACATATGAATAATTCAGTTTCGAATTGCATACATATATGCAAATTATATTGTCTGCATAAACATTCTAATGATTAATGTACGAAAATGACGTGATTTTACTTACCTCATCGCGAGAGAAGTTCTGCAGATTGCTCTTAAAATTCGGCATCTCTTTACTCAAAGTCTCTCGAAGGGAATCGCCAGAGTTAGATGACCTAAGTCGTGGCGGTGGTGGAGGTTGTTTCGATTGAGTTGCCGAGATTAGAGTAGACGATGGGTTATCGATATTATGTCGAGAGAAACCCGACGAGCTCGTATTAGATAAAAGAACGGACCGCGATGATGGGAGTAACGGCGATTGACTAGGAAGACTTCTGCTTGCACCGGGCGCTGGTAAAGGCGGCAGGGAGTTGTTGCTGTTACTAGTAGCGTTCGAAACGGAGCTGCTTGTTTGGCTATTTGAGACGCTCGACGATGTGAGACTGGTTGAGGTGGATTGGGTAGATTGCGAGGATGAGGCACGCGAGTTAACACTTGTCCTGCTACGGCCCATTGGCGAATTACTGCGACTAGGAGATCGTGACTGAGATGGCGAGGATTGGCGGCTGACTAAGGGGGAAGCGGGATAAGCCAACACGTCGCTGGTGTGGTACATCAGCTGGTTTCCCATCATAACCTGACTTGGCCAAGGGGGCATATGATTTATGGATGGAAAACCGAGTTGAACGTACTGCGTTGTACCGCCAGATCCCATAGGCATTTGCTCTGGACCAGGCAAACATAGACCTGGTGGAGGTATCGTGAGACCAGGTGGTACTCCTGTGACTATAGCATTATTCCTCATCCCCATTTCTCCTAAACATAATACATCAATATATTGAAAAAATTTTTAATTCAGAAAATGCACATAAATATGTAATTCAAACGTAAAAACGTGGCTAACATTATTGTATTTAAAATAATTTTGAACTGGATATTATAAAACTTGAAATATTATTAGACACAAAAATCCATTTTAATCAAATAAGGTCTTCTTCGTTTATATGTACAATAATTTTGTCTCACGAATAAAATATAAAGATTTTTATACAATAAATCATATACAGAAATTTTATAGCATAAGGAATACATAGTAAATATAAAAATCACTAAATGACTTCTAATTATAAAAAATTTTAAATTATTCAACCATTTTAAAATATACATATACGAATAGATTTTCTAACAAAAAATATTCTACATGATTTATTCAACACATAAGACAAAAAAGTTTTTAGATAGAATATGAATAGCTTTACAGTATTTGTAACGTATAAACAAATTGTCATGTTATTGCTAGCATAGTTATAACTCTCTAATCCTATTAAGCGCACTGTATTCGACTGAGCTGATTCCAGTAAGTTAAACAAAAGATGCAAAAGTAAATATTAACCAGTTATACTTTTGTATTCTGGAAAAGTGGAATGTTAATATCGCTAAATGATTCCACTATGCAATGCTTTTTGTCATGTTATGTCATAATTGTAATTTGTCAAAACGTTTTATTTTTCAATAGATATTATCAATAGATATTTAAAAAGTATGCAATACAGCGTACCGTGATAAGATTGAATTGGTGGTGGTGGCATTAAGCAGCTACCCGATATCTCAGGCTCCATTAATCTTTCGCTTGTACTCATGCACGGTGTACAGCCCTGCATAAATTTAAACTAAATGTACATTATACAATCAAACAATTTCCAACTTTTAAAATAACTAAACGCATTACTACATTACTATACAAATTAAAATAATCACAGTTGCAATATTATAGAAGCATGTTACTAAAAATTATTAAATTTATTATAAATTAATAAATTAATCTAAAATAATATATATAGCACATATATTTATATATCTTTTTATACCCAATCAAAAAGGTTTTTTTCTGTCGATAATTCAAAATAAATATATCGTAATATTCTTTAAAATTTCAATAATTATTCTTTAAGAACTTTGAAAAGGAAAAAAATAATTTAGTAAACACAAGACAATTCAATAAATAAAAAATGAATGTCAATTTTCATAAAAATATTAACTTTTTGTCTTTTGAAAAAATGAAATATTGTGTATTACTTGGGTCGGTTTGAAAGAAGAGTTTATCTTTGAAAGATTCAGACGAGCTTCTTCTTCCTGGAGCTTAATGAATATGTTGCCGAATACGCTTTTCTGTTCGTATGTGAAGGCCGGATGATTCAGTGCCATCGTATACAGCAGTAGCAATTCTTCCAGGGGTTGGTCGTCCACGCTGAAGGTGGTCCCGTTTAACAGATTGGTGATCTCCTGATGGTCAAAATTCGACAGATTTTTGTACAAGATCACCGCACAGGCGTAATTGCACGAGTGCAACAGTGCCATGTAGAGAGCCAGTTTTCTTCGCGTGCGTTTATCTGTCACGCTGGAAGTCAACTCGGCCAGCTCCGAGGCGCTGTTTGCATGGTGTTCCACATCACGTAGGTCATTGTAGTCCCGCTTGCCGATATCCTCGATACACGTACCGAGATATCGTACCTCAAATGGCACGCACATGTTCAGCAATGTGCACATTACATCGATACGTTTATAACTGAACAGACAAAATATAGATTAATATCAAACAATATCATCATATCATTATATCATCATATCATTATATCATAATTTATTATATAATTTATAAAATATATAATAATATATAATTTATAAAATAATATCAAACAATGTGTTGTATCAATATCATCATATCATTATATCATAATTTTTATGCTAAACTTAAAATCAAAGTATTAAAATCCTAATTATAAGTACATAGGCTTTCTAACTCCTTACAATCTCTCTTTCAATAAACTCGTTGCTATCACAAACTTTGAAGAGTGGATAATTGAATCATTTTATATTGTTGTTATCAATTGCTTTTTCATATTATAAATATAACATATATTATACAATTACTATGTATAATTATAAGTAATATACTTTAGCCAAAAAAAAGCATTAATTGGTAATTTATTTTGGTTTTTTAGAAATAACACTAAAAAATATATATATATATGAAGTATAAAAGATAAAACTTCAATGACACATGTATATAATATGTTTCCATCTCTTAGCATTAATAGTTTCGATGTCATTATTTAAATAGGATATTTTTACTACGCGATACGACTATTTCGCATGTAAGTATTTATTTTTTATAATACTTTGTACTTATCTAAATTAAATGCAGATTAATTATTCTCTTATAAATATTAGAATATGTAACATCCTGTTTTTAATCTTACTATTGTTTAAAAACTACAATTTTTAAATTTTCAACATATGCAATTGATAATTTTGATGAAGATGATGAATTAATACAATTAAAGTATATTTTGAGTTAAAAGACATTCGAGTCGTTCGAGTCTAAAAATTCATGTGATAACTTTAGCAGGCTTATAAAAAATAACTTATAATATACAATAGCAAATAAACGTAATAGAAGTATATTCTGCCCCATTATGTCTTTAAATCTTTTTCACTCTTTATCTTTTACCATTTGTATAATAATTTTCAATATACATATGTACATAATATTGAAAGCAAACTTATGTCAAGAACCATTAAAAACTAGCTTATTATACATAATTATTTTGCTTCTTATTTGACATACTAATACTAGTTATTATACTGACGAAACGTTTGAAAATGACAAAATAAGCAAGTAACGCAAAGATAGAGAGATCCGAGATAAAGAGATCTTAAAATAATGAAAAACATAATATACTTAATAAGTAACTTTTTATAACCGAGAGAGTCGCATCGTACAAAAGACATAGAACTACGAGACGACAAAGAACACAATCGTGTTCAATTCAAAATTTGTTGGTTCAAGAAGCACCAGTTAATAATGGCATACAGGAAGCAATGTAACATATACAATAAAATGTATTTAAAAATTTCCAACGATATCTCACGAACGTTGACCGAAAATTCGTCGCGAGGAACGCGCAAGAGCGTATCTCATGGAATGTGCAAAAGAGCAGGACAATTGTGATATTTTCACGAAAGGAGATTTAAGGCGAAGGTGATCGCCCAACGGATAAGGGTGAGGGAGATACAACGCCGAGTCGTTGTAGATCTCGAGGGGTACCGTGCACGCTTCGCATCGAGAGCGACACACGACGCGCTCTCAACGGTTACGCAAAATTACTCCTGAAATATCTCGGGAAGATGCGCGCGTCGGGATCGCGCCGCGACGCTTCCACATTACCTGGACAGATTCCCAAACCATGATACCACGTTCTCCTTACACACCATTGCCAGACAACATTGATACCACTTGGGTAGGAGGAAAGTGTGGAGCAACGGAGCGGACAACCAGCGGGCGGCCTCTCTTTCTCTCTCTCTCTCTCTTCCTCTCGCTTTCCGTCCCTCTATCTATTCGTCTTTCTCCCTCCTTCTCCGGCTCTCTCTCTCTCTCTCTCTCTCTCTCTCTCTCTCTCTCTCTCGCTCTTCTTCTGGAGGGCACCGCACAATCGGGTTGACAATCAGATCCTTGCAAACGAGAACCGTTTCACAGCCGTGTAATGGTATCCCGTTGGGATCCGGTGGTAAGCGACGAATACCGCGGACGCACAAGATGCACAGTGGCGGCAGCGACGGCGGGGGCACGACAGCCGTAACACATTACACACCGTTAAGCTTCCACATTTGCCGTGGCAGTCGTAAAGAGATATTCTGATGCCACTGACGGGATAACGACGGGACCGATGTCCAATCGGAGCTGACGACGAAAATCGTAGTCGACGAGCGTGATCGCGAGGTCGCGCGTGCTATTCGTGCGTGGCGCAGGTACGGCGCGAGGATGACGAACGAGGATGACGACGACGACGACGACGACGACCGACGACGACGACGACGACCGATGACGAGAAGCCTCTCTCGCGGGCGTTCGAGCGAGCGAGCAAGCAAGCGCGTCAACAGCCGCGCGTTCCGAATGTCCCTCGAATTTCTCTGGATATTTCCGCGAAACGAACAATACGTCGTACGATATGGAATATATATTCACCGCCGTTCGACCGTACTCTCTCGCGTTGCGATAACTCGCGAATTCGCTCTCTCTCTCTCTCTTTCTTCCCCTCTCTTACTCACTCTTACTCTCGTCCCTCTTTCTTTCACTCTCTTTCTCACGCGCGCACGAGATGCCGCTACGAATGTATCGGATAGTCGACGCGAGAACGAGATTCGTTCACATGCATTCATATGCTCGCGTTAAAAAAGGTATCGTATATTCGTCGCTTCGCATTTCAGCTGCGTTCGATTTGGCATTCACGGCGCTTATCAGCGTTTTGTGAATGTGAGGCTAGAAAGAATCAAGGGAGAGTGAAGCGGGGATTCATTGGAAGTCCGCCATTTTTAGGTAATTTTTTAATAACAAGCGGGATATTTAGCCTTTTTAAACTACAGATCCCGGTTACATTCATGCCGTCACCGATGAGAAGATACTATTTTAAAAACGGTCAGTACTTCGATATACAACTGCCAGCATTGAACATCTATAGTTCACGTTACGTATAATATAGATTTTTAGTGCTGGCAATATATGCAATGAAAGAAAAGATTGGCTGAATAATATATGGCATAGTATTTTTAATTGATTGCAGCAGTTTTTGGTTGCGTTAACCTATCGAAATTCTATACTGACATTGCGAATAGGCTAACACAACCAAAAATTGGCTGTTGCAGCCAATTAAAAATACTATGCCATATTTTATCATCTAATTTGCTGCAGTAGTCAATCTTTTCTTTCAGTATGTATATCAGAAATATCGAAACACGGTCAAGGCAAAGAGAATTAGAGGGACCCTGGCCTTGGCCCCTCTTTGAACTTTGGGCTAGGGCTGCATCAAGGATCTAAAGTTGCTGTGTTTAATATCGAGCCACAATTTGTAGTAGCATCTATCAAAGTGGGGTGAACTTCTTTGCCAAGTTTAACAAAAATACAAAAATTTAGTCACCCATCCGATCCAGGATTCTATCCATCGATGCTCTTTATCTATATGATCGTACCGGCACTATACTTTCGTGATATGATATATGAATATTTAATGTGGATGGAGATAAATTTTTATAAGAATGTGACATACAATGATGCCATCTACAAATTCGGAGGAACATTTAATAAATATAACAAAGATGAAATGATTTCAAAGCCGGTATTCATAGCCTGATATAGGTTGCGATTTACTTGATGTTGCAAATGCTTTATTGACCAATCAGAAGAAAGAATTTTATGAATTGACCAACCAAAAAGTTCTTTAAAAGGTTTGTTCGCGTTGCATGCTCCAACATGTTCCAATATACTCCTACCATAGCTCCTACTTACTCCAACGCACTTGGTAAAGTGAGAAGGAGCTATGGTAGGAGCTGTTGGAGCATGTTGGAGCTCACAGCATTTGCAGCATGAATCGCATCCAGTCGATTTTTAAGACCGGAGTACACAACCCAAGCAGAACAATAAGTCACGATAACGTCAAAATGACATTAAAATGAATCGGATTGAATAATGAATCATCACTTTTGGAATCATCATTTATCAATTTGGAATTATTTTGATATCATAATGACTTGTTCTTGCTTGAGGATCTTTACATAACCTAAATAGCATAGAATTCAAAAGAGTTCAAAAAGAATTCAGTGATATGTCATCGATTCTGAGCTTATTTTCAGATGCGACAAGAATTCTTTTCAGAACTTTTCAGAAAAAGAATTCCTTTTGCATCTGAAAATGAATTCAGAATTGATGACATATCATTAAATTCTTTTTGAACTTTTTGTACTATTTGGGAATTGGGTATATCCAAATTTGCATAGCCGCATAAAGAAAATTATCCAATCGCATTTCTCTTATAAAAAGGAATGTAAAATGTGATTGGATAATTTTTTCTATGCATACATTAATTTATGTGACTATACAAATTTATGTGGATATACCTTAACTCATAATGCATAAAGCATAAGAAAATCAAATAATCAATCTTTTATTTCACTGAAAAGAAGGAAATGAAGGATTTTGATTAATTTTCTTGTAGATTATGCATTATGAAGACTCTATGCTCTTGCCCTTATATTTGAAACTATCTTATGTATAGTCTTAAGATGTCATGAACCAATCAGAAGGCGATATTCATAGTCCATTGTCGTGTATCGTGTCGCGAATCGCGCTGGTGTCACGGAGCCAGTAAAACGTCGCAAAACGACGTTCTCATATCGCGGACTTATGGGTGCGGCTAGTATATTACCGACATGAGGGCCTTTTTCCTGTAACCGTAAAATACCTCCGCGCACTACTGCCCTCTGAAGAAATTTAAACTACACAACAATATCCATATTTTTTGCGGTGCTTTTAATAAAAATAAATCGCTGACATCGCTAAAATAACTAAAATTTATCAAATTAATAAAGATTTCAACGATTTCAGCGATTTATTTTCATCAGGAGCACCGCAAAAAAAATAGGTATTGTATGTTTTACATCCACTTCTTTAGAGAGCAGTAGTGCGCGGGGGGCATTTTATGATTACAAGAAAAAGGTCTTCAGGTTTCTTTCTGCTAGAAACCGCGGCAAACCGCGCCTATTTTTACATTAAACGTGTTGCACGCATTTCGTTTATGTTTCAATTTTTAACAGCAAATATATATGTATATATAAAACAGCCGTATTGTAATTTCTGCATATTTTAAAAGAGAAACCTTCCCAGGTAGAACACGGAGTCATAATTAAGTCATAATGATATCACAGGACGTTATCATGATGTCATTTGATACCAAAAAATTGACTTATAAATGACGAATGAGGTCACGATGATGTCCTCATGACTTCTGTGTTCTACTTGGGTTAGAGGGATTATGCCGGCGTTTTATGTGATACCATCAAAAAATCGCTCGTACATACACTACTGCCAGTGACTACATCCATTTTCTGACTCTGCCGATAAAATCATAACCGCGGACGAGATATTATTAAAACGGCCGGCCCTGAGCAATTTTAATAATTATCAATAGGCCCTTAAAAGTTATGATTTTTTATTATACATATAAGTGTTCCATGAATAAGTATTGTTATTTTATTAACATGTATATTTGTAATGCTATAATATCTTATAGCGATTTATTCGGTTGAGGTATACTAGTGTGCACTAGACTTTGAGGTCTGTTTTTTATTACTGCACTTTCTGAATAGTACCTACACACAGTGCAATAAGTTGAAGTGAAACAAATATACGTTTGTTTCACTTCAACTTATTGCACCGTTTCAGAGTGCAGCAATAAAAAACAGACCTTATAATGACAGAATTTAATGATTCAAAAGTAACAAAAAGCCGCAAGGCTTTTCTTATCAACTAATGTGCTGACATAAGGCAAGAGGTATAAAAAGTGGTTTTTATTAGCGTGGTTTTTTTACATAATTGCTCATGTGAAGTGTTTCTGACATCCCAACATCATATCTCGATTTTTATTGCTCTCTTTAATGATTTGTAATTAAATAAAGACTGATAATATATTGTACATTCTTTAAATAAAGATAAATGCAAATATTTTTTTTAAATTGTGTGAAACAATTTGGACTAAATAAAATAATATATATATGAATAGCATTCATATATATTTAGCGATAAATAATTTAATTATAATTTATCTATTACTTTCCCTGGATTATATAGGAATGCGAAATAAGAGGTGAATGATAGAATTAAACGATACAAAAGTAACAACAATCCGCAAGGCATCAATTATCTTTTATTAAAAACATTGTGTACATTGTGCGGATTTCGTGTAATAAAAAGTTATAACAATAATCGCTTATTGTGACACAATTGAAATATCTAAAATAGTCATGAATTGAGTTTATGCCTAACGAATGTAAGAAGTAAAACAAAAACCGTGCAATAAAGCCTATTGATCGGAAAATATTAAAACTGTTAAGAATATGTTATTTTATTTATTTCATAATATGCGTTAATATTTCAACAATTAGACGATCGGGGTGCGCGACTTTGAGGTTTGCTTTGATTCGGGCGGGCGGGCGCGTCATGTTCACGCGCATTACTGCGCAGTTCATTCAATTGCCAGGCAGGTTGCTCGGATAATCGTGCCGCTCTTCTTCACATTTTCTTTTGAAACGTAATCACGACAAATTTTACAGTATACGATTATTAGCTCGCACGATTAATTATCAATATTATTCATAAAAGGATCGAGATGACAATCATGTATCACGGAACAGATATTTCGGTTAATTCATTTGGAATCAAAATGCGATGGAAAACAAAATTTATTACTATTTCGTGATAATTACGGACGACAACTATTTTAATTTAACGTAAAATTTTTCTCTCGCTTGAGTATAACTCTCGATTATGCTTCGAATGGCATCACACAAATCACAAAAAGCAACGCTAATAAATATTCTCATGCAAATAACGCAATTCATGCGATTCCTACTTTCAGAATTAGTATAGTTTGTGTAATTAATAATTTAATTAATTTTTCGTTTTTGTGCATCTTTCGTTATACGATCCGTATAAAAAATTAAGCGTAACTTTGGAACTATTTGTCAGTAATAAAAGAAATATTTCTCTTTTTTATTAATTTCTAGCCCATTCCATTAACTCTAATCATACCTTACAAACATCGTAATAAAAGATTCAGCCCTTTTATCTGCAGCTTTGACTTTATTTCGCAATGATGAGGAATTGATGTGTAGTTTGATATTCATTTCTAAAAGTTAACTGCATTATAGTAATATAGATAATACTATATTACATTTTTCAGATGATATCTTCCCTTTCACGGGTACGATCTTGATGTGATGGAAGAGCTCAGTACCCGGAGGATTAAAAAGAACGGTTTTTCTTACGTATCTAAAAATTTTCGGATCTATCTGAATGATATATCTAGGTGAATTTTTAGACACTTGAGTAAAATCGTTCTCTTTGTATGAAAATCCAATGACGGGGAAGCTAACGTATGTTCGTCACCGATTTACAATAATTGAAAGTGAACGAACCGCAGCTGGTTCGTTGCGTCGCGCGTTTGCTTCGGTAGTTGAAGTACCGAACTAATGGACTTTTCACAAAACCCATTCAATGGAATTCTATTTCGATGATGGAATCATATTCGATGTTTTGACAGTAAGCGGAACTTTCATTGAGACGTTGCTGCATGAGGTGGTCTACATTACGATCACTGCAATTCTCACGCCAAGTGACAAGTGCTCCGAACACGAGGTGATGTCGACCTCGTATAAATGTTACTCACTTCGCAATGGTGCAGTGTTCGCACAGTTTAGCAACTACTGTTGCTGTCGGCTAATTGAGGATATGCTCTGTCTGTCAGCAAACAGTTCGCAAACCCTTAGCGATCGATTGACTCGGGTTCGTCTCTGGGTCGCCCAAAAAGGCAGAGAAATGAGCGCTCTGATCAGAGCGCTCATTTCTCTACTAGCGTCTCAATCGCATTTAATCTTGGTTAGAGCCTAGCTGTTAGTTTTTTTGCTCGTGACGAGGGGTTCCCATTTCCTAAATTGTCTAGATTGTTAGATTCGGCAATGGATACCAACTTTTCTCTCATTAGAGGCGTTTATCACATCTATAAGTTTCTTCGAATCGCTCGTGGTACAGCATCACTTGTGTCTCACTAGAACTAATAGTTAAGACGTATGCTTAAGTCAATTTTAAATGTGATTTTTGCGTAAACCAGAGGTGACGGACTCGATACGATCGATTTCGTCTTCTTTCATATATAGGGCTTAACCCTCGTTTGGCATTCATTGTGTGTCGCTTGTACTTGTCGATGTGTGGTGTTCATTCCATCGACCGAAATGGAAATCCTGGGAAATCATGGGTTTTGTAAACGTGAAATACCGCAGTGTCGCACGAAAGACTTTTATAAATAATTAGTCCGCGCGCGATTATAGTGTATTATTCGCGAGTGTTTTACGCGAGTGTCTTGTGCGAGAGGATGTCAACCCAATTCTGAGAGAAGAATTCTGGGAGAGACATCGAGCACCGATGGATATTATTTTTTACTTATGTAAAATTAATTTTTTTGCTTGTCCTTAAATCATTTTATTTGACAATGATTTAAAAATAATAATTAGAAAAAAGGAGAGTTATTTATAAAAATTACTTTAAAATTTTATACAAATTTATTCTTGTTAAGATCTCCTTTAGAGAGAAAAGAATGTATAATAATTTTATATCTAATTAAATAATAGATACAAACTTCGATGCCTATAAAAATTATATTTTCAAAATTGGACGATTATTTTTCAGAAAACTGCATGCGTTCATCGTAACTATTTTTTTTTTTAATAATGATTATTCCTTTACCCTGTTTTAATCTGAATTTTAATTTATTTGTTACAGAATTATCGTAGCGACGTTGCAAATGGAACTTCACTGTTGCGCATCGGGCCGGTGAGTGATGATCGAATTAACATTTTTATTGGTGTATACCAATTATTAGAATTAGACAATGACGAGTAATCAATTTTGATTGTCCTTGTCTAACCCACGTAATAGCATGGAAAAGAACCACAAAAACGTAAACATTACCCTACGAGATTTGGTACACGCACCAACGAGATACTGTTAAGCCCAGTGTCCACGATGCTAGAAATCCGTCCGAGATCTCGGATGAAGAAAGAATTGATCAATCGTATTGATCATATGACTAAATTGTTTAAATGTGATTGGTTAAATCTTTCTCTCTCCGAGATCTCGGACCAATTTTTAGCATCGTGGACACAAGGCTTTAGAGACGGTCGGCACTTATAGAAGTTCGCGTGATCGACTGTTAAAATTTAAGGGCTGAATCCATAGATGTTGCTTAAAATTCAAGCTGATTTTAAGCTAATGCTTAAGACCGCAATTGATTCATAGATGTTGCTTAAGACCGAATCTGAAACTGAAACTTGAGACCACGCTTAACTAATGAAATCTCATTTCATAGTGAAATCTTAAGTACGACTCAAGATTATTAGATGCACAATCATTGCTTAAGCCAGATCTTGAGCCAGTTTTTGTCGAGTCCAGTAAGTGGACTTAAGACGGTCTTGAAATAAAAAGTAAAGTATCTAGTTCTTATTTGTGTGTGTATTAATAATTTCTTCTATTTATTTTTTAATATTTTTAAAGAAAAGGAAACAGAAAAGCATATAGTCATTGTAGAATTACTACAGATATTTGTATATCTGTCATCGGGTGAACTAACCTAAAGATACCTCACATTCAAACAATAAGAAATTATAAATAATAATATACTAGTATAATTCAATACTTTGTCCGAACACATTTCTTATTGAGACTCCGTGACTAGGCATTTGATTTATATTTTTACACTTGATCGTAAGTATTTTCAAGTTAATTATATATAATGTATTATAAATATATACAATATAATTATATAACTTTTAAACTGAATCTATTTTTATACAATTAAGATATTAATTACTTATTATTACATTTTAGATAAGCGCACATTATGGAATTTAATATATTAGACCAGTTTGTGACATTAATTTATTTGATAATTCTGATTCCTCTTCAGATGAAGAAAATGATATTGGTATAATATGTGATAAACGATATGTACGAGATGCGATTAATCCATTCACAGTCTATCGTGAACACAAATTTCACATAAGATATAGATTTTCAAAACATTCTGTTATGCATGGACTGCTATACCTTTGGTTATAGATGGTTTGAGAAAGCCTGATGGGTGAGGTCTTCCAATTGAACCAGTTTTTCAGCTGCTCATTTGTTTAAGATTTTATGCTACTGCTTCTTTTTAGGTAAAATTATTTATTTATATTATATCTCTTTAAAAAAAAGATATAAATAATTGTATTACTTTTATCTTGTAATTTAGAAAGTAAATGGAGATCTTATTGAATTACCACAATCTACACAATTAGTAGAATCACGTTCAAAGTAACTGTTATATTAGCATCTTATTTAAATACTTATGTTAAATTTCTGACTAAGCAACTATACAAGAAAATAGAAGATTGTGTAAAGAATTAGGACATGGACATGGAGCTATTGGATTTCCTTGTATTAATGGAGCGATAGACTGTACTCATAAGACTATTTGGTAATAATTTTCAAGGATTAGATGAAATGTACAGAAATAGAAAAGGATATTTTTCTTTAAATGTCCAGGTAAATTAATAAAAGCAATGTTTATTAATATTTAACAATGCTTATTTCACGTATATTACATATACATTTTGTTTTTATCGTATTGTCTTTTTGTGTAATGTTAGTAAGAGATTCAGGATATCCTGCTCTTCTATTTCTTTTAACGTCATTCAGAAACCCACAAATACTTTTTTAACTGCTGCACATCCCTCTGTAATATAAAACATTGCTTATTAAAAAAATATATATAACCATATATAGTGTAAAAATAGGAAAATAAATTTAATACCTTAGTACAAATTAAAGAAGAATCATTGTATGTCTTTGTAAAAGTGAACCAAGCCTCTGCTTTTTCTTTCAATGTAGAGGAATTTGTACCTTTTGATTCAATCACATGTTTATAGTCTTTTAGAATCTCAAGGAATACTTGCTTTTCCAAATCGCAGTTCTCTTGGCCGTTGTCATCCTAAAAATAATCATTTATTAACAAAGTTAATAACAAATTTATTAACAAAGTTAATAAACAACAATCAAAATGTAAAGAATTGTCTCACTAAAATAAATAAGGTTAGATTTTCCGTTTTTAAGTAAATTTACAGTAAACATTATTTTTTTCTTTAAAGTTAACGTAGTATGCCTTTTATAAATTTATTTTCAAAAGATGAATAATTTCGTTTATAATTTCATGAATAAGTTATCATATGTCTATATTTGAAATGATAAGAAACAAAATCATGAAACATACCTGAATCATAACCATACCTGTTCTGACCTATTTAACCTTTTCTTGCATGTCTGAACACGTTTCTAACTGCTAAATATATTTGTATGTATGTACATACATACAATTCTGTATAATACTTGTAAATCAATTGTCATTGGACAGATTCTAGAGAATCCCGAACGTTTCCGAAGCTGGAGAACTCGAGTTTGAACTTAAGAGTGCCTTAACAAAGCCTGACGAAGCCGAATGTTTAAGCACGAACTTCGTTAAGACAGTCTCAAACTCAAACTCGAGTTTTCAAGATTTATTTATGCATGTGAGGCATTCTTAAGCTGGTTTTGGGCCCTAAGTCGAGCTTGATGAAGACTATCTCAAGACAGATCTTAAGCAACATCTATGGATTCCGCCCTATGAAATTAGTTCACGAATCCAAGGAAAAATGTTTTTTTTGTCATAATTTTATCATGTGTATATTCTGGAATAAGATATTAATCAGTAATCACAATAATACTCATTTTAGCAAAACTATAAAATTAAGTAATTTTGATAACGTGTGTACCTAAGGCGTACCATACATTACCGGTACCGCGTACCAAAATACGGTGTACCGGTTCTGTACACTTTAGAAACGCAAGTACGTGATAGGTACGGTACCGGTACGCATAGTACGCCGTACGCTCACCGTACCAATACCGTGGAAGTATTTTGTTATCTGGGATATAGAGATGATAACTTGATAACCGCAGAGAGAAAAACTGTAACTTTTCAACAATTATATATAAGATATTATAGCATTAAGAGGATCCTAAAGCCGTCTATATTACCGACTAAATCATATAATTTTTGAATAACAAATACTTTTTTTCTCTTTCACAGATTTGAAAATCCTTTTCCAGGATTAAAGTATACTCATTAATATGTGTTTGTGAGGTGGAGTTTATGCCGAGAACGACCAAAAATTTCGAAATTGATATATTTTTTACCATTTCTTAGTATAACATGGTATCTCAAGCTGTTAAGTTGTAACATTTGCTTGATACGAAAAATTTTGCAACCTGTACTTACGAAATAGTAATGCACAAACACATAGTTTGCACGAACAAATAACGAGTTCTTAGAATTATAGATTTAGACGCTTTATCGCGACGAATTTGTCGTACGAAAATTGATACGAACGTGCGACTGCGTGTATTATAGGTTGGTAGATATTGGTGTGGTAGTATATAAAAACATGTCGATGCGCTGGAAAAAAACAGCGACCTTTGGTGACTTCGTCGGAGTTCGAGCTTCGTTTTAGGATCCCCTTAAAAGTATGCGTACTTATTTATACAGCATTTATATAATAAAATATCATGAATTTAATAATAAGTTATCGAAATATTTATGTTAATAATCGTAAATTTTTATTAATGGTCGGTAATGTCGTTCTTTAATTATTCCCAGGGGCCTCCGGGGCCCCATTGATAGTCACGAAAAACCCAGAGCCGAAGGTCTTCAATAGTATCTCGTCGGTAGTACACGAAAAAAGGTCCACTCTCAGGTTTCTCTCTGCTATTCTCTCTGCTTGAAATAATATGGTAAGAATGAACTATAAATACCGATCTTACAGTAGGGTGTAATTTACTTACCCTACTGAAAAAAATCACGTCACAAAGTTACATAACGAAATTATGTAATTAAAATAAGTGAATCACATAACGGATTGTTCCAAATCAATACGTAAATTTTTTAAACCATGTTATTTGAAAAAAATCTCATGATATTAGAAATAATTTCATATGACTTTATTGTCGAATTTTAAATAATTAAATGATAGAAATAGAAGAAAAAAACAAATCGTGTAATTTTTCAAATTATGCGATTTTAAAAGATCACGTACTGATTTGGAACAATTCGTTACCTGATTTACACATTTTAATTACATGATTTCGTAACTTTGTGACGTAATTTTTTTCAGTAGAGTAGTCAAATATCTCGAAAAATATAGAAAATACGGAAAAATGTTTCGGTTGAAAGTGGAACGGTTTCAAAGAGGACGTACATATTTAGGTCACGTTCTCTTTTTTTCTAGTTAGAGCTATCGAAAAGATATGAAGATCACTTTTACTTTTTTAAATGGAATTATATAATTTTTTTACATAATATGATTCCTCTAACAAGTATTCTGCATATAAAACTATTAAAGTAAAGATACAAACAAAATCATTAGTTTACGAGATATTTTATATCTGACTCTGACACTTAAATTATACATATTGACACGCTTATTAAAATATTAAATATTTCGTAAAGTATTAATTTTTTAAAAATCGTACTATATCGTTATAATAAAAGAATAAATTAATTTTGATCATTTAGGATAATAGATGAATTATAATAAAACTAAGAAATAAAGTAGAAAGAGCACATTAATAGGCCATTCATTAGAGATTATATAAAATTAATGAACGGATTATTTAGCATTTACTCTTATTTCTAATACGTTAAGATATTTTTCCGAAAGATTGAGTTTCTACATATTTTTTTGAAATTTGGATATTATGTTTAAAATAATTTTGTCTATACAGGGTGTCCCGAATTTTTTTGCCATGCGTTCTTGTGTAGATAGAGCGGACTAAACTAAGTCGAAAAGTCCTTTACCATATTGCAATTTTCACAATAGTTAACAAGATATTAATTACTAAAAATTGCCGCGCTATAATTGGTTTTCAATAAAATTTTTACTCAAACACTATCAACTTTACAGAAAACCTGCAAGAGACAAAAGTTTATTTTTTTTTCATAGAACTCTGAGAATTTTTTATCAACTTTTTAGTACTACATTTTCTTATTTTTACCAGCATAAGAAAATATGGTATTAAAAAATTCTTAGAGCTCTATGAGAAGAAAATAAACAATTTTTGTCTCTTGCAGTTTTTCGGTAAAGTTGATAAAAAGATTGAATAAAAAATTATTGAAAATCAATTTTCGGCAATTTTTAATAGTTCATATCTTGTTAACTATTGCGAAAATTGCAAAATGGTAGAGGACTTTTCGACTCAGTTTAGTCCATTTTCTTTACACAAGAGCACATGGCAAAAAAATTCGGGACACCCTGTATATGATTAAAACAGAGCTCGGCAAAATTTGTACTTCTCGGTCGATTTTCGAGAGGCTCCGCCTCCCACTACTCCTCTCACCGCTCGTCCCGCGCGCAGTCCAAATGCCATTCGAAGACATTTAGGAGCGTCTAACGTTCAAAGACATGAAGTGCACTCGCTTAGATATAAAATGAAGTTTACAGCGTAAGTGCCCAAAGCAGGTGGACCTTATGTCTACGAGCGTCATACGCTTCTAAACGTTGAGCGGCCTTTGGACTGCGGGGCGAGCGGTGAAAGGAATAGCGAGAGGCGGAGCCTCTCGAAAATCGGCTGAGAAGTGTAAATTTTGCTGAATCCTGGATTAAAATTTCAAAGACCCTAGCGGTGTCGAAATAGAGATATTCACCTTCAAAGTTTTAGCTTATACGTAAATTCCCGGTAGAAAATTTTTATGCATGAATATATATAAATACGTATAAACATACATAAACATATATAATTATGTATGAGATATGTCCATACATGTTTATACATCCTTCTTTAGTTTGTAAAATTACTTTTTAGTGTACTAAAAATAATAATAATAATAATAAAACATCAAAAATAATTAAAAGGAAAATTTTCGCGTTGTTTGTTTTTGAAAATATCAAGTTTGGAAAAATGTAAAAGAATTGCTCATATATAGTTGCATGTAAAATTATATATAGTTATGTATGAGCAAATTTTTTTACATTTTTCCAAACTTGATTTTTTCTAAAGCAAACAATGCGAAAATAGTCCCATTAACTATTTTTTATGTTTTCTCAATATTATTATTATTTTTAGTACACAAAAAGTAATTTTACAAAAAAAAGAAAGATGTATGGACATGTTTCATATATAATTATTTATGATTATGAATATTTATGCGCGTTTATGTATGTTTATACATATTTATACATATTAATGTATAAAAAATTTTTTACCGGGCTCCTATATCAAGCCTTGCCGAAGCAACGTTTTAATACTTTGCGGCGAAAATCTTCTACAGATTTAAAAAAAAAATAAATATGTAATATAGAAATATTATAGTAACCTTATTAAAAAAATGAGGAGGCCTAGCGGTGCCGTTTCTAAATTAGAATAGTTAAATTTGTAACTTGATGGAATTCTCCTTCTCGCACGCCGAGCGGCGAGACAGGGACATGCTGTTGTCACATTTCAACTGTCTTCAGTGCGAACTAGTATTCGTACACACAGATACGACAGATACGATTTATGCGTGTGTGTGTGTACGTTCGCCTCAAAAGTTTCTCTCTTATTCAGAGAGCACGTGCGGAGAAGCATATCCGTAAGTTGTACGCGATTAATTTTCTAGCGCGATTGTATCCGAAGAAATACCTTAGGCTGCCTTCCCATGAGAAAAAAAACCATGGAACGGAATATTGACAGAAAAGAGATAGGATGAGGATAATCCTTTTGATATTCATATAATTTCTAGATACACTACTTTTCACGTTTATAATCTGCAGCATGATATCAATTAAAATATAAAATCAAAGTTCAATGTTATATAACCAAACATACGTGCAGGATGATAAAGCATTCGATGATTTTCGCATGTTATCCATGTTTGTTTTCGCATATTGTATAATACTATAACTGCTGACTCTTGAATTAATCAAATAACAACGGATATAATTTTACAGTTATAATTTTACGAAGTAAGGTGCTAGAAGTGAACGATAAAAATAACGCAGCAAAGATGCTGAAAGACGACTGCAAGATTCATGTGCAGGAATCAGAAGAATTGCTGGAACCTGTGAAATCGTGGAATTCACAAATGTACATCGAATTCGACGATCTTTGTTACTCAGTTTGTTGCAACCGCAAAGGCAAGCTCATTTTCTACATATTTATTGAATATAACGATTTTTCTGCGTCTTTGATACCCTAATATATTTGTTTGTGCACGGAAAGAATTTTCTCTTAGAATTTGAAAATCATAGTAATTGTAAGACAACGTGATATTTCATTATAATATATAATAATTCTTTGTAATTTATTAATCTTTCTGTAATGAAATATAGAATACGTTTGATTAATTTTTAAAAAATATTGAAATATAGTAAAATTTTAATTTTAACACACACACACGTGCACTCACGCACACAAGAGATGTAAATCCGACCGAGCAACCTCCACGCGGTACATCTTGGATAATTCTAATGCCGGCGGTATTTAAACTTTAAAGACTCATAACTCAGGAAATTCTCATTTAAGAGTTTATGATATGTGTTTTGAAAACGTCTCAACATAACCTACAAGAATCTGAAATAAAAAGTAGGGAGTTCCATTTAAAAAATTAAGTTAACCTTAACGTGACCTTGACAACGCCATTCTAGGTCAAATAACTACTATCGTTAAATGCATCTTTTTAAGCTTTACAACTTTTGTTTGAAACTTTTGTTTTTTCTAAAATGTATCGTTTATGAGATATTTGGATGTATCCAGACTTTTGACCCACCCTGTATACTTTGATTTGTCGTAATGATGTGAGTCAAACGTTGAGAGAAAAACGCAAAATTAACTAAGTCATACATAGTAGGCAAAAGTAAGCCATAATAGGATATATTGGAGAGAACACATGTATCCTCGACGTTGTCAGGCGACATTATGATAAGAAGGAAACAAGGAAAGAAAAGACAACATTATAATTGGAAGGGGACAGAGGACATGTTAAGAAGGTGAAAGAGATTGAATAATGTTAAAATGTGATTCTAGCAGAGAATTTGTATCATTTTGTTTGTTTATTCCATGTTTTTGTCTTTTAATGTGAACCATCTTCGATATTAGTCTCTTATTATAAAAAGCTTCTATGTCTAAAATTTCAACGTTACTCCAGTCAAAATTATGATTCTGGTCAATACAATGCGGTGATTGATAATCACCGTTGAAGATTTTGACTTCTTATTAATATCGGAGATATGTTCGTGTAATCTTGTTTTTAATTGTCTTTTTGTCTGGCCTACTAACATCGCAATCATCACAAGAAATCTTATAGACAACCTTTTGATTGCATAAAGGATCCAACTGGTCTTTGCCCTTTCTAATAAAGTTCTTTAGTGAATTTGTAGGATAGAGAAAGCTAAAATTTACAATGGCAGCTGTTAGCAATTGGAGTAAATTTTTCAGATACCGAATTTATATAAGGTATTATGAAAAATCTCTCCTTGATTTTTTTTGTCAACAGTTCCACTGTTAAAATCAATGTGGAACGCGGCAATTTCTTGTAAATAAAAAACCACCTACAATAAAATAAAAGATGCAGCATTACAGAATCACTAATTCTAAAAATTAGATTTGAAGACAAAAGTAAATGAGAGATGTATTGTATTTTAGCAATACAGCTATTAGTTCCATACAAAGATTAATTTAAGAACCCTAATTTCTGGAAGTTATACCATATGTGCTAAATGGAATAATATACTTAATAGCAACTAATTTATATTAAAATGTAATATGAAAATTTTATAAAGTACTCTAGTGGAAATCTCCTCATAGTTCCAAAAATGTCCATGAGTATATGCCCATTTTAGAAAGGTATATACCCGTTTCAAATCTTCCTATCATGAGGAGATTTCCACCAGGGTACATGATAAATATTTTTTCTTAGAACAATTTGCTTGACAATTTTTATTATGTAGTTTATAAAATGTTTTTTGTACTATTTAAAAAAATTCCTATCATTATTAATAATATTTAGTAGATTGCTAAATTGTTCTACGTTTATGACTAAACATGGTAAATATTACAAAATATTCTTTCCGTGTACACTTTGTGATACCTTCAGACATTTCAGATAACAACTGATTTAATCACTTTCTAAGCAGATCAAGTCGAGATAGATTACAGATATCAAAATGACATTAAAATGCGGCTCGAAGTTTGGCTTGATAATCTGGACGCACCTTAAGAGTGGGTTCAGACCTAGCCAAAAACAGAAACAGAAAAGCGGCAGCCAATAAGAACTGGCGCTGGTAGTCTTTGGTTTCGGCTTTCTGTTTTACTATCAGCACAAGTTTTAATTGGCTATTGCTTTTCTGCTTTCTGCTTTTCTGTCAAAGTCTGAACCCATTCTAATATTACTCTTAAAACAAAATAAGTTAAATACGTTAATGATTTTAATGATGTTAAAATAAATAATTCTAAATAAAATCAAAATGTTGTTAAAATCAGTTGCAATAGAGAATGACTTTTAATAATCATTTTGAAGCCATTTTGACGACATTCTGTCATAAAATGATTATTGTGATCTAATTGTCCTGCTTCGATATAATGTGTATAAACATAACATATGATTGATATTGCACTTTTGGCTATACATAGTAAAATAAGAACGTTCACTGTAGGGACTGAGAAAATGATTCTACGTAATGTAACGGGACACTTCGAACCAGGGAAAATCACGGTGATAGTCGGTCCTTCCGGTGCGGGGAAGACCACCTTGCTAAAAATCATATCGGGCAAACAACAGATCGATATTAAGGGTACCATCACCGTCAATGGTGCTAAACAAAATAGAAAAATGTTCCGCAAACAGGTGTGTTACGTACCGCAACAATTCGATCTATTGCCGTACCTCACAACAAGAGAAACTCTCTATATGGCAGCTCGACTAAAGCTTAATCAGAACAAACAAGCAATTTGTTCAATGGTGAGTAAAATATAAATACGAGAGAACAGTTGTAAACTTATTCGTATATATACATATATATATTTATATAATTATTTATTTAATAATTTTATACATACATAAGATTTATTGTTAAATATCCGCTCAAAAAATTGTTACATAATGAAATGGTTTCTTAGTCTATAATCGAACAATTAATGGTTGATAAGAAAATAACATTTATTTTATTTCTGAATTTACAATGTCGCAAACGTTCCGATTTACAAAGTGCTCGCAAATTATTTATCCCTCTATTCCCTCTATAAACTAACAAAATACAAACTGAAAAAGTCGTTCAGATTAATTACAAGTATCCACGTGTTTATTACACAATATTGTAGTCATTATTCCGTCAACATTTATTCTAAAGTCATACTATTAAAATATTTTTACGCTCAATTCTTCGATTATTATCGAGAATACAACTAAATCGTAAATTTAAATAAGCATCCGCGGTAAAAAATCATTTATGCATGAATATGTATCAATATCAGGTAGTGCTAAGTTAAAAAGATAAAAGTTAAGTTAAAAAGTTAATTAATTTTAACTTAACTTAGTTACATTTTAGACTCTTAACTTTTTAATTTAATGTAGTTACATTTTATCGGTAACTATTAACTTTTAATTTGATTTTTTTTTTAAGTCAATCCTCAGACACAATGCGAGAGGATAATGTTATTATTACATGTAATAAATTACATAGAGCTCTTTGAGCACAAACACGTCGTGCACGACGCATTATAACACAGGTCTACAAAAAAGGGGGTCTTGGATGTTGTCGGGAAGCTGTGGGTCATTTCCGAAGTAATTTTCTGCGTAGAATCCGAATCTGAAACCAGAATTGGCCCATCACGTCAGGATTTTGAGATATTAGGGGATATATACTCGAAAAATGCGTTTTTATGCTACTTTAGAGGTTATGTACAGGACGCAACCAATTTTTTGGGTCTTTTGTGCTATTTGCATCATTTAGTAATATTCTTACCCTTCAAAATGAGATATTGATCGACTACCTACGATTTTTTTTCGCCAAGTTACGGGCATTTTAACCCACTTGCGTAACCGTTTTTCCCGTCTTTTTCGTTCCTGTTCTTAACAAACGTGAAACGACCACAAATATAACAAAAACTGTTAGGATCATTTAAACACTTACGCGGGGCCATTGTTAAGACAGCAAACAGTCACAATTGTGACTGTTTATATATTAGGACCTTGAATAACGGACAGCGCGTCTTGTGCGCTGCGGCTCTGAGTGCAAGGCGTCTACCAACTTTAAACAAATCATTAGTTTTAAACTTATTAATGCAATGAAAATGAAACTTTCCAGAACATTTGTTCATATCCGAATGAACAACTTTCTCGCTGAAAGTTTTAGGATGCTCGAAATTCGCTCGATAAACGAAGCACCTGAATGCATAAAAAAGGATATTTTGCAGGTGTGTATAAAAAAAATAATAAGTTGTTTGTTTATTGACAAATATCGGTTTTTCTTTCTTCACTAGACGTGGAAAACTCTAATGATCATAACTTCGAAAATAGCAAAAAAACGCATTTTTCGAGTATATATCCTCAAATATCTCAAAATCCTGACGTGATAGGCCAATTCTGATTTCAGATTCGGATTCTACGCAGAAAATTACGTCGGAAATGACCCACAGCTTCCCAACAACAAAACCTTGTTGACCTGTGTAATCGGTCATTACACACACACACACACTCGCATAGACATTGTAGAATACAAATGGTTGTATTCATGCAAATTTCTCGTCTTGACTGAGATGTTCCCGGACTTATTTTGTTTTCAGAGCCGAGAGAATCCGAGCTCCTGGCTACTACTCGGATTCCCTGTGTAATAGTGAATGGGCACACGACAATAAACTCTATGATTCCTTTTGTTACAACCCTTTTATTTGCCTGTATACAGAGAGTAGCCTCCTTGACTTATACAACAAAACTCGATTCGACTCTTCTTTTTCGTTCTTCTCCCTCGTTTGACCGCAGCACAATCTAGTCGAGCCTTCTCTTTCTGAGTCAGTAACATAAGAACCATCATTCGGTAACTCCTTCCACCCTCCAGACAATATATTATCCTATTAATCCGAACAGACATAGATACGAGTTTTTTTCTTCAGTGTCTGGCATCGGTTCTCCGAAAGAGAGAAAACGGCGAAGGCGGCAATCAAAGCGATTTTCGACTCCGCGCGGCTTATCTATGTCTCACCTTTCGTCATCTGGCCACGTTTTCGTGATCGACCAATAAAATATTGAAACTACAATTTCGACCGTGGTGGGAAGCGTCGTTCGGACGGAGAAATGCACTCACTTTTTCACGGTTCGAGCATCGGGAAGTATCTCTCTTAAAAATCTCTCGGATCCGTGCCGGATTTCAGGAAAATTACTTATCGCGGTGTGAAATAAGAGGCTCAGAGCGCACATCCGATCGCCCCTAGGCAATGCCTCATAACGAATTAATCACGCGATTCAGAGGACAATTATGATCGCTCTCGAGCATTGTCCACGTGACTTAGGACATCTTGTCCCTAAGCGGTGTCGCGCAAAAAGTAAAATTAACTGTGTAAAACTCAGAACAATTGCTTACAACAAATAGTGTATGTGTAAATTCATAAACGTTGACTATGTAAATTCTAAATAAATTGTGTCTACAAATTCAGCAGAACATTTACTGTGACTAAGTGATTTATTAAGCGAAAAGACAGTAAAGTTACTAGGTTGACTCGCTATCACACAACAGATAATGAGTATATAATTTAGTAATTTTATATTGTATAATCGTTACTTGTAAACAATGGGCCCCCATTCAACGAGCGTGAACCCCTCCCGATATACAGTTGCATGCAAAAGTGTCCGGCCAAAGATATTTTTATCATTATTAACGTAGAAAGGGTACAAAATAAAAACACAAATATATCATCATAAAGTACTTTTGACATGTAATTAAAATGCACAATTAAAAAATTGTTTATAACGATTAACACGTATTTATAACTAAAATAACACATTTTGCTTCTTCATAATTGTTCGGCCAAATTCCAAGAACGTATAATTTGCACGGCTTTGTTTACGTTATCGGTCACGAAGGTATGTAAACATTAAGAGCACGTTTCTTTTCTATTATTCGATCAATTATACTCAGTCAAAATGCCAAAACGCACGTCTTTAGACATACGTAAATTGGTGATCAAGTTTCACAACGAAGGAAAAGTTTCACGTGAAATAGCTGATGTTTTAGAATTAGGTAAATCGACTGTTAACGATATAATAAATAAATTCAAGACTACAGGTGCTCTAAAAGATAAACCCTGCCCTGGGAGGCCAAGAAAAACTACTAATCGTGTCGATAAAGTGATTAAGAGAAAGGCTGTCGTAGATGTGAAAAAGAATGCCGCGGTCATCGCACGCGAGTTACGCGAAGAAAAATTGGCTGACATAAGTCAAAGTACGGTTTCACGCAGATTGACAGAAGTGGGACTTTTTGGACGCGTTGGAGTTAAGAAACCGCTTATTAGCAAAAAAAATAAGAAGGCCAGATTAGAATTTGCAAAAAAACACCGTAACTGGACTGTTGAAGATTGGAAGAAAGTGATGTTTTCAGATGAAACTAAAATTAATTTGTTTGGAAATGATGGTAGACGGTACGTTCGACGACCAAAAGGCACTAGAAATGATTCGCGATATCAAATACCAACTGTGAAGCACGGTGGAGGTACCTACGTTAATAATCATAAAAATATCTTTGGCCGGACACTTTTGCATGCAACTGTAGGTATCATCGGCGGGGTGTCGCGAAACACAAATAAGTAACAAAAAATAAGATGCTATTCCATACGTGAAAAATCAGTGAAAACTATAATTTTTGTCATTTACAAAAAAAGTATTTATAACTTTATTAATAACTATATTTATCTTTTTGACAATATTTATTGAACTATCATATTTCCACTAATGTTAAGTGTTCATCAAAAAACGCTTCGCGCGCGTGCTGGCTGACCACCGCCACCCTACTCAGAGAGTCCCCTGCCCAGTTAGGTGACTCTCCAGTTGTTGTTCGGACCAAATTTAACTTTTAACTTTTCAATTACTTTTTTTATTAACGTAACTTTTAATTCAATTAATTTTATTATGGATTAACTTGTATTTTAATTAATTTAAATTTTCAAGGCTGTTAACTTTAACATAACTTAGTTAAAAAAGTTAAAAAAAAGTTAACTTACCCAATTTTGATAAATGTGTATAAACATACATAAATATTCATAAACATATATAATTAGATATATACGAAATATGTCCATACCTTTTCATACATCTCTCTCTTTCTTTTGTAAAATTCCTTTTTAGTGTAATAGAAATAATAACAGTAATGTGAAAAAAAAAACACTTAAAAATAATTAAAATAATAATTTTCTCATTATTTGTTTTAGAAAAAATAAAATTTGAAGAAATGTAAAAAAATTACTTATGTATAATTATATATAAAAGTATGCATAATTGTGTATGAGCAATTTTTTTACATTTTTCAGAACTTGTTTTTTTTCTAAAACGAACAATGCGAAAATTATCCCTTTAATTATTTTTTATGTTTTCACATTACTTTCATTATTTCTGTAACACTAAAAAGTAATTCCACACAAAAGAAAGAGGAACGTATGAACATATATGGATATGTTTCAAATATGATTGTACATGTTTATGAATATTTATGTATGTTTATATATATTTAAACATATTCATGCCAGTCACGTCAAAAATAAAATTCCAATGATTATTTTAGCATATTGATAATTTATGTAAAATCACCGTCTAAATGTCTTCAACCGACTGTATCTTTCTTAATTTGAAACTTGACAAATTTCAAATTATAAGAAGGATGCAGTTGGTTGAAGATATTCAGTGGTTTTACGTAAATATTATTATTTTAATAAATATTAATATTTAGCTTGGCGAATAAAGTTATATAGATTGTGACGCATTGCATACATAAGACATTTTTTCTGTCAGGTGAACGATATCGCGAAAAGTTTCAACTTGTCAAAGTGTCTGGATACATTGGCGAATAAATTAAGCGGTGGTGAACGGAAGAGACTTTCTATCGGTGTGGAAATGTTTGTTCAACCATCCGTTTTTTTATTAGACGAACCAACAAGCGGTCTGGACAGTACGGCCTCTAATCAGGTATAGCGTAAATTACTAATACAACTATATATTAATAACAATCGTTTTATAAAAGAGGATGATAAAAATTGTACTTCTGCCTAAAAGAAAGTAAATAAAAGGAGAATAGTGTATTTTTTTCGACCTCTTGAATATGATAAAAAGTCCGAGAAAAATAAGGAACACCTCGAAGAATTGTGCACGAACATGGGAACTAAATTTCAATGTTTTTGTTCAATTTTCAAAGTGTTCTTCAATCGCCTCCACAAACTTTTTAATAACTTTATAGTTTATCGTATTCAGTAAGTCAAAATCTATAAAAATACTATTCCTTTTAGTTAAACCTATTATGGACAGAAATCGACCTCTTTTTAACATCTTCTTTTAATGTATTATTATTTGATATTATCTGATATAAGTCACTCGATGTATAAATTAATCGATATTTATCTCTTATTTTTTGTATAAATTAATTATTTTATACAAGTGCTCAGAACATTCTAGCAATGTTACAACTAAGCTAGAATATTATAATGTATTGTTTTGTAATATAGTTGAACTTTAATATTAAGTTCTTAATGTGCTATATCGAAACGTATGGTTTGTGTTAAATAGCTCATTAACATACTACATGATATGGCAAGAGCGAATTGCACTGTGATTTGTACAATACATCAACCCAACAGTCAGATAATTTCGCTCTTCGATAACATTATCGTGATCAACCAAGGCAGATGTATGTATTGCGGTCCAAAAGACGAGATCTTAAACACGTACAGCATTGCTGGGTTTACGTGTCCCAACTTCTATAACATAATTGAATTTGGTAAGGTTGACTATATCAATTCGACTTGTTAAATAAATTACGAGAAGATAGGAGAATCATGAAAATTAACATAGAATATAGAGTATTGTGCGTATTTCCTTTTTATAACTTTAAAACTAGTTTCCATTAATCTTGCAAGTAAATTTTATATTTTTTTATTAAAAAGATACAATCTGCAATTAATTTTGAAAAATAGATAGACTATTATTTTTATATTTAATATTTTAAAATCTGAATAAGCGTCAAAATAAGAAATATGAATATTTCACGTCTGCATAGCTGGCCCCCCACTTAACAAAATCTTAATAAAAAAATTACATAATGATGCGCTATTTATGCACTACCCATATCCGCAAGAAAAAACTTTTGCGCTCATTCCGTTTAGCTAAAAAAAAATTTATTGTGGGAGGGGGCGAAGTAAGACACTCAGTCAGCATCCCACCCGTTCAAAACAACTGATTTGGAAAATTAAATACACAGCATTTATGCGCTATTTATGAACTACCATACGTAGACAGTTTTAATTTTTGCGCTGCAATCCTTAAGGCACTTCCCTCTTGGTGCGAATAGACATATTCACCCATAAGTCGTTCAAAATTGCAAAATCAAATATTCTGACTGTTAAATACTCTGCAATTTTAAACGACATAGGGATGAATATGTCTAGGTTGCAGCGCAAAAATCGGAAATGTTTGGAAATAGTAGCACATAAATCAGGCAAGTATTTTACATAACCAGAGTATTTAATTTTGCAATTTTAAACGACTTAAGGGTGAATATGTCTATTTGCTTCAAGACGGAAGTGCCTTAAGAATTGCAGCGCAAATATCGAAAGTGCATGGAAATAGTAGCACATAAATCATACGATTATTTCGCATAGAGTATTTAATTTTACAATTTTAAACGACTTAGGGGCGAATATGTTTGTTCTCTCCAAGAGGGAAGTGCCTTAAAGGTTACAGTGCAGAAATCGAAAATGCGTGGAAATAGCAGCACATAAATCAGGCAATTATTTTGCATAGTGAGAGTATTCAATTTTGCAATTTTAATCGACTTAGGGGGGAATATGTCTGTTCGCTCCAAGAGGCAAGTGCCTTAAGGGTTGCTGCGCAAAAATTAAAACTGTGTACGTATAATAGCGCATAAATAGCACATAAATCCTGTGTATTTAATTTTCTAAATCGGTTGTTTTTAACAGATGGGGGGGCTGACTGGCTGCCTACTCAGCCCACCTACATAAAATTTTTTTTTAGCTAAATGGAATATGTGCAAAAATTTTTTCTTGCGGATATGAATTGCGCATAAGTAGCGCATTATGTAATTTTTTTTATTAAGATTTGGTTAAGTGGGGAGGCCAGCTAGGCAAACGTGAATATTTTTGTATATGTACAGAGTGTCCGCAAAATCGAGGTCAATATTTCAGGAAATAATTCGGGAACCAAAATGCAGGAAAAAAACTGTATAAGCATAGGTCCGGAAATTCCGAAGTTTCCGAGTTATAATAATTTTTATGTTAAAAAAAATTGTTATTTATTTTTCATAATTACAATCGTAATTTATTTCATAATGTTTTAACATAAATAACATAAATAACTACATTTCGGATTATTTTAGCGTTAACCAGGATGCATCACGTGGTAGCATAGTTCAATTATACGATTAGCATCCTTCTTTTTTTATTTCTTTATTTAAAAATTTTTTTTATTTTACTAGAGAGATGCCAAGCGGACTATACCTGCACGTGGTGCATTTTGGTTACCGCCTAAATAATCTGAAATGTAGTTATTTATGTTAAAACACTATGAAATAAATTACGATTGTAATTATGAAGAATAAATAACAATTTTTTTAACATAAAAGTGATTATAACTCTGAAGCAACTGATTTCCGTACCTATGTTAATATAGCTTTTTTTCCTTCTTTTTGGATCCCGAATCACTTTCCGAAGTATTGATCTCGATTTTCCGGACATCCTGTATAGATACATATATGTATACATATACTGGTTGTCCTATTTTAAATAATACATTTGGATTTCTCGAAAACTATAATAGGTGCGGAGAAATGTTTTCAAACAAAGGTTGTATGGTTCGGAGGGGGACATAAGAAGGTACCATTGATTTGATCTTGGATGGCGTTTCCAAGGCTAGATCGAAGTCATGTCGATTTTTTTAAATTTAACCATTATTTTTTATTACATTTTTTTGTAGCTTACCTCGAGAGCTTTTCAAAACACTATAGGGGAGACCGGAGACAAAAGTAACACGGGACAATAGTAACATCGTTAATATTTCTTAAACTATAATAGGTATGTGTATACGGCTGCAAAGCTGGTAAAATTTTGTAGACAAATCGACATTGAATCGTTCGTTACATGCTGATTCTCGCAGAAAGTGTACGAGTGCAGGAGCGAAAATTACTTTTTTCATGCATCAAGTAAGATTTATTGCGTGCCCAAAATCTAAAATTTTTTTTTCTTTATAATGAAGGTATAGTGTATTATCATAATGTTTTAATGATTATCTGTGTTGATGGTTTGTACATTTGGGAGAAAGAGTAGATTTATGTTGTTGTGTTACGTACCTCTGGCAAATGTGGTACAATTATCCCCCTCTACTGTTATAATCGTTACTGTCGTCCCTAGGGATTGGGACGGTTGTAACAAAATTCCTCATAGTCTTTAAACAAACATAACTTTTTTTCTAGTTACATAAAATAATTAAACCAAAGAAAATTTTGTATCTAAATAAATTCTATATCTAAAGATACATATTTTTTTAATGTATTATATCATATTTTAACTGTTATAACACTTCAAAGTCAAAATGTTACTTTTGTCCCCGGTCTCCCCTAATAAAATATTTTTTCATTAAGTATTTTTCGAATTATAAGGCTCGAAAATTACAGTACAGTCGGCATTAGCATTACGCAAATTATCCGACCGAGGGCTAAATCCTCTTGAATATTATTCAGGATCATACCTTGGATAACATTTGTCAAGATCAAGGCCATTGTAGATTATTCTTCTTATTTTCATTTTTACGTAAAAATGAATTTTTAGTGCAAAAATGAAAATAAGAGGAATAATCTATAATGGCCTTGATCTTGACAAATGTTATCCAAGATATGATCCTGAACAATATTCAAGAGGTTTTAGCCCTCGGTCGGATAATTTGCGTAATGCTAATGCCGACTGTACTGTAATTTTCGAGCCTTATAACTCTAAAAATACTTAATGAAAAAATATTTTATTGTAGTGTTTTGAAAAGCTCTCGAGGTAAGCTACAAGAAAATGAAAAATAGAGGGTTAAATTTAAAAAAATCGACATGAGCTTGACCTGACCTTGGCGACGCCATCCAATGTTAAATCAATGGTATCTTCTTATGTCCCGCTCCGAACCATACAATTTTTGTTTGAAATATTTTCCGTATCTACCATAGTTTTCGAGAAATCTTAATACATTTTAAAAATGTGACACCCTGTATATATAATAGTAATATTATTTTTATAATAAAATACTTGAACCAGTTTTTCTGAAGTACTTTTTCCGTAAAAAATGTGCGTTATTTAAAAATCTATTTAGTCATATCCATACAGCAAACTTTATCCCAGAGATCTTCCTAAGAACATTTTCAGAACGTTAGAATACTTTCAGAACATCCTGTAGAACATCGCTTGAAGATCTAAATATAGAAGTGCTATATGGGTATTTAAATTATAATAAATACATTTTAAAATAATTGCCTAATTGTTTATTTTCCAGTTTAAAATACTTTAAAAATATCTAATAATTAAAAAAGCAAAAAAACAACAATTGTGTTCTTCTAATTACAGTGCTTGAGGTAATAACAGAACAAAGGGGTGGAGATGTGGAGAATCTATACAAGATCTGTTGTGATGAATACGTAAAGTTTAGGTTACGCAATAAACATAATAAAAAGGGTAAATGGTTATATGTTTATTTTACTATTTAAGTGATTTCTTTTTTATGTTTTCGGTTGTTTCTTAATTCATTAATAATCTATTTATAACAATTATTTTATTAATTTTACTGGTCTATTTATATTGTTTATCATATTTCATGATAATTGAATAATGAAACTCTGAATTTTATTTATCATATATCTACATATATTATCTAAAGGAATTTAAATCCCTAAAGAAAACCTCTTTAAAAAAAGAAAAGAATATACGCCAAGTGCATAAAAAAAGTATCGAATATTACATTCTTCTTAACAAAAAACGGATAAATACAATTAGTATTTCAAGTATTTCATAACGCAAGACATAAGATAGACTAAAATGGTCAATTGGATTATAGTGAAGAAAAAATTTGGCATTCCCAGTTCGCATTAAAACGAAATATTCTATGACCAATAATATGTTTTCATAATACGGAAATTATTTGCAATACGAATTAATAAAAAGATTATTACATATAATATTCTGCACATATACACAAGACATGAAACTAATAATTCAAGAAGAAGAGATATGTGTTAATAATTGCTTACTAATCTTGTAAATTTGTTACCTATAATGTTTCTATATCTATAGTAAATATTATCAATATTATTATCTATTTCTCCATAATTTATATTACATCTATTATACGTCATATTTTACAAAACTTTAACCAAGCACAAAGACAAAATATTGTATTTTGCGGATTACATCGACATATAAATGATTTTCCACCATAAAAACACAGATATACAACTATGTATAACGTGTTTAAACATACATGTCTGTTGTAATTTCCCACTTATGGATGTAAGATTTGTGATATAACATTTGTTACACTGTAGTTATGTTGTAATTATATTCAGTTAGAACAATAATTTGTTGGTATCATAGACACCAAAGATGTTTGGTTAGCGTCGGCGTTCTATGATATAAACAAATTATATTCTTCTATCTAAATGTAATTATAATACAACAACAATATAATATATGTTATATTACAAATATTACATCTATGAGTGGGAAATTACACCTAACATATACGTTACATATGTAACATACGTGTTAGTTACACGTTATACAATGATTATTAAGTTATATATGTATTTGCTGCTATATCGGAATATTTAAAAACTAATAACAGTAATAATTATGTTAGTATCAGTGCGCTCCTTGCCCTGATAAAGTGAATGACAAGGTTCATGAAATGTTGGCATTAGCAATGAATCACGACACGGCAATAATCCGCAAATCTTTTGACACCCCCTTCCCTCTCTCTCTCTCTCCCCCTCTCCCTCCCCTCTCTCTCAAGAATCACTGTTATTTATCGAAAAGGACCCCGCACAGATCTTATGGAAAATGTCCCTCGGTTAAATTGGCTGAAATTAAAGTATGTTGTTCTTGACGTCCTGAACAAAAGTCTCAATAGGCTCTCTAAATTCAGTACTTTTCCATTTAGAGATGCTTAAGGGGATGCTGGATCGACGGCCGAACTTGATCGAAGTCGATAGTACAGACTTTTTTTAATTCCAAATTCGATAATAGTGACATCTTTCATTCATTTCTTATACATATTATATATCTTTGTGTCTCGCTCAAACGCATTCATCTATCCTTATCTAACATATTGCAACGCCATTTCTTAGAAGATCGAACACCTACTACTAGACACAATTATTGCTTTGTTTATCATTCCGAGTCTTCGCTCAGCGTTCGTATACACGTCATTTGCAGATCGATATAAATCTTTCTTTTGAAGCTTTTAATCTTAGTTTCATGAACTCATACTACAGTGTATCAACATAACTACAGTGTATTGTTTGTGCATGTAATGCGCTGAGTGCTGCACTATTGTTTGGTCCATATGAGCTACAAAACTTTTGTATTAAGAAAACATCTACGTCAGGTGTTTTGTTGATATGTATTTAATGGTGGATGATCACAATGTCACTTGAAGTACAGACACACGCATATATGTTTGTAGTTATAAGTTAAATTCACATGAACGTTCACAAGTTCCGCATTGCATATATTTTTGGACATAGAAACACTCGCGTAGATGTTTATATAATTTTATACCTGACAACGCCTCGAGTTCGTTCATCCCGGGTCAGGTCGTGACATCGCCTGGGGGATAATACCCTGAGTCACTTAATCGCGAATACGTGATAACTGAAACTCGTATCACGTTGGCTCTAATTACAATTATATCGCGTATACGTATTCCGTGAAGGAGCCGATCTTTTCCGTGGCACGGATCGATTTTGACTGAATCCCTTCGTTGATTCCCGATGATCGTTCGCCCTCGTCGTATTTCCCGAAGTTTCCCGAGTCTTATTGATCGATAGATCACAGAAAGCCGCGAAATTGACGACTGCGACAACGAGATGACCGATGTGCGGCAATTCGAGCGCCGACAAGGCAAAGGAACACTTCGGTTCGCGATCAAAGATGCCGACTATATTCCCAATACCGCATTGTACACCTTTGAAGTTGTACCGCGTGCCTTCGCTCCTTCGCGGTACGTGTGATTATTAGTTAATATAAAATGTATGTATGTGTATGTATGATTGTTAAGAGCCGTCCGCTGTACGTTTACTTTTTTGTCGTGCACGACTTGTAGGACTTATGTACGGAACATCAAGTGACAGCTCTACGAGTTGAAAAAATGTAAGTTTTTAACTTTTTTCTCGATTTTAGTATAAAGTCTATTGCAACATTCAAATTTTGCGTCTACTTTAATTCTGTAAAAGGATTTTTGATTCCGTTCAGTAAATTCGGAGATTTATATCGATCTGCAAAATCCCGACAATTCGGCCACTCCAGCATCCCCTTAAAGTACGTGGAAACCTGTTACTTCACGAACCAAATAGCCCCCACCGGGCATTCGCTCGTGAGCTGCCGACTCGTATGGACCCCTGTGTTCCTCTTGTGTCTGCGCGATCCTCGACCGACCTCTTGTGCCTGTTGCGAACC